AAGCCACACCGAGTGGCCTGCTGCACCAAAAAAAGCTCTATTTGTTGTAACATGATAGAGAATATATCCATAGAATATTCTCATCCTAGGTTTAGGATATAAACCTAGGATGAGAATATTCTATGGATATTCTCTATCATAACAGATTACATATCTACTGTTTCTATAGCAAATTAATTACCAAATAAAAGTGAAAACTTATATGCAATTAATATTATAACCATCTAGAGAATAATTATTGCTTTATAACCGTATCAAAATAAAAACATATTCAACAAATGAAATTCATAAAACATTGAATTAACTAATGTAATCAATAACCCTCTTGAACAGTATTAATTTGCAACAGAATATAAGACCTGCTAATCCACTTACTTGAACAATATTAATTTGCGTCATAATATAGTGTAGTCATAGTGGTACATCCTTATATATCATTGGAAGCTAATAAATCCAAATACTCATGCTCTTTACATAAATCAATTTGATATTGAAATAATATAAATAGCATATAGTGTATGTGTATTTACCTTTATTGCTATTGGGATCTAAATAATTGATCACGTAGAGCATTGGTGCTGATAACATGTTATAAAATCAAAGAGAAAGTGGAGAAAGAAAAGGAGATAATAGATCAATCACATTATTCTATTGAGTAGGGAACATATATAAACATATACAATAACTAGGATTTTCTTAGAAAACACTAAACCCTAAATATAGAATATTCCAGAGTGTACAGAAATATAGTGGACATCCACAAATATTTCATATCAAAAAAGCAATTAAAAAACTAAAAACGTAAACATACACTGTAGTTGATAACTGTAGGGAATATTTCAAGCCATTCACACTTGAGCCCCACTGTGATCATACACTTAAGCATGGTGGCATCCATGGGAAGGAAGCTAGAGTAAAAGAGTTGCCAACAAGTTTTAGGAACTTTTAAACCATTCACAGGATGAAGGTTACACCCCTTAACGATCTAGGAGATCGTTAACTCCAATAGGTCTGGAACCATGACTGGAAGTTCGGGGATGAAGGTACAAATATAACCTAAAAGAGATTGAATCTGGCCTAAAAATAGGCCTCTACTTTATTCTTCTCGTATTCATGTGCGCTTTCTGACTAACATGCAATCAATAGATCAATAGGTTTACCCTAAACCTGTTTCAATCTATGTTGGTTGAATTTAATGCACAAACAAAACTATTATTGGCGATCACTTGAATTATAATCATATTAACCTAAACAATATTAATAATTATCTTTTTTAAGCGTGATTACAAGTACAAATTCCCTTTAAACATGCATAAAAGGTGTGATCAAGCAATAAAAATAATAATATCAAGCAACATGATAACAATCATAATAATCATAATAATAATGTTAAAACATAATATTATTAACAAGATCCTAGGCATGATACTAACAAGATTAATGAAAAACCCTAGCATGTCACTAAACATCAAAGATCAAAGCTTCAACCCTAACATGATACGAACATGATATTAAGAAAAAAATAGGAAGCATGATAATAATCATACTAGACATTAGAAATTACCCATACATGATACTAGGAAGCAATAAAACATCCTAACATGATACTAGGAATCAATAAAACCATATAAGCATGCTTTCTATATCAAAAGATCAATAAAACAATTAAAGTACTTACTTTGATGCCTCATACCTCTTTTTTCACGTCTAGGGCAAAGGTAACTTCGAACTTGGTTAGGTGTTTCTAGAGCTAATGAGTGAGGAATTTTGAGAGAGGGAAGGTTTAGAAAAAGAAGAGAAAGAGAGAAAGCTTCTAGCTTTGAGAGAGAGAGTTTCTGGGTATTGATGATTTGAAAGCAGGGAGATACGACCCCTATTTATAGGAAAAATAGCGCGGAATCGAAGAAAATCATATTCAGAATAAAATACCTCATGTCGCAAACGACAAGAGTCACAGCCAGACGACAATCTCGTCGCCGGACCCAAGGCCAGCGTTGGGCGACTATTGATGTTTAAAGGTTTTGATGATGAGGAACTTAAGTTACAACAAACTCATCTCATAAAGACTTTTCAAGTGTTTGTGTAGCCTAGGTGAAATTGATCTTGGAGATGGAAGAAGTAACTAAAGCTGAGAAGACTTGAAGGAGTTCTTTATCAAGAAAGTTATTCAATATAAAAGAAGAGTTCCCTAACAGGAATTGAGTTCCCTCACAGGAACGTTCCTTCACAGGAACTTGAAGATTGCTGACTAAGATCTTTGGAGGAACTTAGTAAGCGTGGAGTCCAAGTAAACCTACCAGAACAAGAGTACAGCGCAACAATGTTTTAGTTAAGATTTTATCTTCTAGATTCATTGTTAAATATGTTAAGTAGGATATGCATGAAACTTATTAGAAGCGTGACAGTTAGCTTGGCAAATAAATTAAAATCGGAAAAGATAAAAGATAGAATTCGGAAAAAGATTTTCTTTAAATATTTATCTCTTAAAATCAGTTTGTTAAAAAGATATTATGCTTTTTAATTCAATATTTCTATCTTATTTTCTGAAAAGATTTTCTTCAAAGGATTTAATTAAAAAACCGTGTTTTAAGATAAGTTAAGTTTTACTTATTTATCTTTATGTAAACCTACTGTTTATACAGGTAATACTTGTATAAATAGTAGAGAATAACATGAGCCTAGGTTTTTGTGAGTTTTATGCGTGAAGAATTTACAGAGCTATAGTCGTGTAAGTTTGCCAAGCTTATCATACTGTCATATTAGTTTCGGGTTTCATGCATAGCTTGCCTATCATATACTAGGTGTTAATTCTTGTATTTGGTTTTGGGTTTATTAGGGTGAGAGTATTTTTATCATTGCATACAGAGAGAGCTTCTGGTGAGAAGGGGGAAGATCTGTACTTAGGGAGTACGAGAGAGTTTGAGTCTGGGACTCAGACTGGGAAGAAAAGTGATCTGTTCTGTAGCAAGTTCACTTGGAAACTTATGAGTAGAGGCTGAATTATAATAGGTTGTAACTTGGTGTTTGCCCTATTATAGTGGAAGTATTTGTGTTTGAAATCCCTAAGGTAGGTTCGAGGTTTTAGTTCTAGTTGGGCACTAGAAGGTTTCCTCGTAAATTCTGTGTGCATCGCAAGTTCCTATTTTATTTTGTTTTATATTTGCAAAATTATTATTTAGGAACTCAACTACAATTCACCCCCCTCTTGTAGTGTTCATCTCAATTAACAGCGACGAAGACCAGTGCTCAGCGCCTAGCGACGACTCTGTCCCCCGCACTAGTTTTAAAGTCAACGCGCTTTTTCACGCGTAATTACCTTTAAAACCAGTTGTAGGTAATTATGCGTCCAAGCAGTTTCGAAATCAGTTTTAATATATTTTATTCTATAAAAACATATTCTAAAAATACAATTATCAATCCTAATCTCATTAGAATTAAAAAGAACCTTCTAAATATTCCTAGAATATTAAAATCAATCCTAATCACTTTAGGAGTAATAATTAATAGGCCTTCCTCTAGATCATTGGGCCTAATTTAATTTAATCCATAACTTCCTCATAATTCATCGTATTGGGCTAATAATATATCATTGGAAAGCTCGTTTCGAGCCCAATCCAACTACACTATTATTAGACCCTTATCATGGACCAAACCAAATTGGACTAGCTATTTTTCATAAATAGAGTAAGAAAAGAAATATTTTTGAAAATAGAAAGAGAAATATTTTAATAAAAACATCCTCATCATTAGACTTTCACACTTTCACTTCGTTCGATAATCAAATGACGTGAAAGGTATTCATCACTGGGTTTGGTTTTGGGAAGACACAATTGGGCGTCTACAATAACAGATAATAAAATTATCACAATTGCCCTAGTGGCCTAATGTATTCTACTTCCTACGTTTATAGATATTTACAAGGCCCACCTAGTCACCTCTTTTGGCCATTTTTTAGTACTTGCAAGTTATAACAATTCATATTTCACATGCACAAATTCTTGATTAAGTTGAACTTTCGCTAACTTATTGTAAGACGAGTTAAAGTTATTCTAAAAATATTTAAAGTTACCCTTATATACTACAAAAGTTACTATTTTTCTAACATAAATTTTACCAGGTAATTTAACACACATATAATGTATTTAATTAATTATTTTATGTATTTATTAGAAATTAGTACACATTAAAATAAAATCAAACTCATTACAAATTAAAAGTTAGCCTTAAAAAAATGTTAAAGTACCTTCAAATTGATCATTTTAATATTTTGAGGGACTTATGTAAGCAATCTTATGTGCTACTCTGAATTTTAAATTTTATTTATGGAGGTAGCTTGAAGTATTGGTATTCACTCTTATCTTGAGTAAGTAATTACCCATGTATATATATATATTAAAAAAAAATATAGCAGAATCAAACCATAACAAAATTCTGGCTATAGTATTACATAGTTAAATACTTTAGCACAAATTAACAATTGTTTTACAAAATTTTCACGGAACCTATAACTAAGGTACAAGAAGGCTAAATCAAAGTATAATCATGAGATGAATTAATACTAAACATCAGATAAGTGAGATATATACCAAGCAACTGATGTGTGCTTGCTAGTAATACCAAAATAACACCCCTTGTAAACCATTGAGTCGCTACATCTTCAAGAAAAGCACCCTTGCATGATTTGTAATCGAAGCATAGGGTGTTTGGATCATTATCCCATCTATTGCAATCAACATTTGAGTAAGTTCCATTCCCTGGTTTTATCCAAAGTGACGGGCTTATGTAATTGAAGTTACAATCTTCCGGAGGCTTGCAACAACCACTCTATGAAATACATATTTAAAAAAAAAATGTAATTAGTTGTAATGGGGTGTGACAAAATTGTAATTAAAGGCTTTATGCATTTTTTTTTACAACAAAGCCCCCAAGGGGAACTAGATTTCATTCATAGAAATGTCCTTCTCCATCAAAGATACAATACCAATCGAAAAATCCGACAATTAAACATACCTCCCCACATCCCATTGCAAACAATGAGCAAGCTCATAAGCCACTTTATTCCCATCTCTATGAACAAAATTCCAAGAAGCATCAATAAAAAATCTAGTAACATGATATATATCATCAAGGATAATATGCAAAGAGCTAGTCCCTCTTTCTCGTGATGAGATTGCGTTGATCAAGCCTAAGCAATCACTCTCCACCACAACACGACGGTGCCCAAACTCTGTCGTAGCCTTGAGTCCTAGCAGAACCAACATAGCCTCAGCGATATCATGTGGCCATCGCTCCTCCATTCGCCACGCCACTGCAACCTTAGCCTCCCCATAGCAGTCACGGACAACAGCCTCTACTGACGCCCCCCTGCCCTCGGCAGCTCCCCCATCAACATTTAGCTTCACCCAATTCTCTTGTGGAGGCTTCCATTTATGACGAGTACTACCCTCAACCATGATGCTTTGATCTTCCTTTTGTAGCTCAGCCACAAGTTTTGTCACATATTTCACCGAAGCCTTCGCATCACAAGCCTTACCTTTGAACAACCATTTATTCCTGGCAGTCCAAATAGACCAACACAACGCCATAAAATAGCCATGATCTTTACTGGGTAGCTTCTCTAAGCAAGTGAGAGCAAAATCACCAAAGCTATAAAAGGATCCCCCCAAGCTAAGTCACAGTCAAACCCACTCTCCTCCCAAATGAGCCTAGCAATAATACAATCGCGCAAACAATGCAACTCCGATTCCTCATCAACCTCACAAAGTGTGCACATAGGACTCCTCCCCTGCAGCCTCTTGCTCAATCCCCTTGAGATAGGCAGAGCACCGTAACAAGAACGCAAAAAGAACAATTTAATCCGAGGTAAAATATTGACATGCCTAATTTTACTCCACATATTCGATTGAGAAGAAGATGTAGTAGCTCCTTCATCCATCGCATCCCCAAAAATGGCATGATGCGCTGTCTTCATAGTATAATCACTACTTTTATGTAAATCCCAGCACACCACATTATCTCGGGAGTCACAAGCTAATTGGAATCTCAAAATACGGTCTTTCTCAAAGGGAAGAAAAATAGCATTAACTAGGGGCACGTTCTAAGAAGTCGAAGCAAGGTGAATCAAATCACAAACCCGCAAGTCCTCTAGCCAATTACCTCGTGAAGATATGACCATTCTAGATTGAGTTCCTGGTATCCAGGGACTCTTCCACACGGAGATATTCAACCCATCGCCTACACGCCAACACAAACCACGCTTCACCACCCACTTTGCCTCCCAAATCTCCCTCCAAGTATATCTCGGCCCACTCACTAGCTCTGAAGAAAGGTAATCTCCATCAGGAAAATATCGAGCTCTAAAAATTCTCGCCACCAAGCTGTCCGAAATTTGCATAAGGCGAAAAGCCTGTTTGCCTAAAAGAGCAGCGTTAAAATATTTGAAATCCCGAAAACCCAACCCTCCTTTAGCCTTTGGCTCACATAGCATATTCTAAGATATCCAATGAATCTTACGCTCACCCTTTTTTTGTCCCAGCCAAAAGTTAGCCACAAACGAACGCATCTCATCACAAAAAAGAGGAGGGAAACTTAAACACACTCATCGCGTAGGTAGGGATAGATTGGGCCACTGCCTTAATCAACACCTCTCGACCCGCCTTATATAGGAACCCTCCTCTCCATCCTTGAAGTCTCACTACGTAAAAAAATAAATTTGGCACCGGTTCAAACCCGGCCTAAGGCACCGATTTGAACCGGTGCCAATGTGGGGGGTGCCAAAAAGGGGTTTAAAAAGGCACCGGTTCAAACCGGTGCCAAAAAGGCCCACAGAAAATTATTTCAAAGTTTTTGGCACCGGTTAACCGGTGCCAAAAAACCCCCAAAAATCATTTTTTTTTGGTTGTTTTTTTTCTTAAAAATTAAATAAACTAAATTAAATAAAAACACAAAATATAAATCAAACATCACAATAAATATAAACGATTCTGTTTAATATATATATAATCAATAAAATTTTACAGCATAGATCAATAAAAAAAATTAACATATAAAAAAAAAATTACAACATATAAATAAAAAAAAAACTACAATATAAATCAAAAAAAAAATATTACAACATCACAATCTAAAAATCCCCATATTCTTGATTCTTGATTCTTCGATTATGTATACCTGCGCCAATTAAAACATCAAAAATAAATTGATTAAAATGAATAAGCTGCGAAAAAAATAAAAAAAAAACAACCCAGAAAATAAAAAAAAAAATCGAATTAAAATCGATTAAAAGGAAAAAAATCGATTAAAAAATGAAAACAAAATCGAAAAAACCCAGAAATCAAAAAATCAAAACAAAATCGAAAAAATAAAAACAAAATCCCAGAAAAAAAAATGAAAAAAAACCCAGAAATCATAAAAATAAAAACAAAATCGAACAATTAAAAAACCCTGAAATCAATTAAAATAAAAACAAAAACAAAAAAAAATTAAAATCGAAAAAAACCCAGAAAAAATCAAAAATCAAAATCGAAAAACAAAAATCAAAAATCAAAATAAGACAACAAAAGTAAAAATCGAAACACAAAAATCAAAATCGAAAAAAAAATAAAAACAAAAATCAAAATCGAAAAACAAAAACAAAAATCAAAAATCAAAATCAGACAACAAAAGTACAAATCGAAACACAAAAATCAAAATCGATGTAAAAGAAAAACAAAAATCAAAATCGAAAAACAAAAATAAAAAATTGAAAAACCCAGAAATCGAAAAAATAAAAACAAAAACGAACAAATAAAAAACCCAGAAATCAATTAAAATAAAACAAAAACGAAAAAAAATTGAAATCGAAAAAACCTAGAAAAAATCAAAAATCAAAATCGAAAAACAAAAATCAAAAATCAAAATCAGAAAACAAAAACCCATAAAAATCAAAAATCAAAATCGAAAAACAAAAATCAAAAATCAAAATTAGACAACAAAAATCAAAATCAAAATCAAAATTAGAAAAACAAAAATAAAAACCAAAAAAAATCTAAATCGAAAAACACAAACCCAGAAATTGAAATCAAACTCGAAAAAAAAAATCTAAATCGAAAAACACAAACCCAGAAGTTGAAATCAAACTCGAAAAAAAAAACCCATATGTTGCATGTTGGTCGTCTTCAAATGAAAGAAAGAAAGGAGAAGGAGATAGAAAGAGAAATAGTAGAAGAGGAGATCGTGAAAGAGGAGGAGAGGAGAAGGAGAGAGAAAGAGGAGAAGAGGAGAGAGAGAGGAGAGAGAGCGGCTGTTGTGTATTAGGGTTGGGGGTGATTATAAAGGGGCGGTTTTTTTTTATTAAATAAAGGCACCGGTTCAAACCGGTGGGCTTTATTTTTGCCACCGGTTTGAAATGAACCAGTGTCATATGTCTTGGTTCATTAGACCGACATGTTTTAAGGCTATTTTTGGCACCGGTTTGGACTGAACCGGTGCCAATTAGGGGGTGCCTTTTTGTATATTCTACTAGTGTCTCTTCCATAAATTCTCCTTAACACCCTTGGTCAACACCCTTTTAGATCTTCCAACAACCGTCGGAAGCCCCAGATATTTATTATGTATATCGACCACCTTCACTCCCAAAATATCCGCCAACACCCTCCTTCTCTCCTCACCAACACCTTTACTAAATGACACCGTGGTCTTTTCAAGACTCACCATCTGACCCGAGGCCTCCTCATATACCCTTAGAACATCTTTAATAGTATTAACCTCCTCCACATTCGCTCTAGAGAAAATAATACTATCATCAGCAAAAAATAAGTGAGACACGGAAGGAGCTGAGCCGACGAAGCAACTCTAATTCCATGTAACCGATTACCTTCCACCTCTTTATCAATCAACCCAAATAGAGCCTCAGCACACAAAATAAACTGATACGGGGTAAGAGGATCACCTTGTCGTAAACCCCGAGATGGAGTAAACTCCCCTGAATGTGCCCTATTTATAAGGACCGAAAAAGAAACCGATGACACACAATGCATAACTATATTCTCACTGCTCTGCAAACCCCATCTTAAGCATAACAGCTCCAGGAAACCCCACTCTACCCTGTCATAGGCTTTCGCCATATCAAGCTTCAGAGCCATCGAACCACTCTCACTGGACAAATTTTTCATATGATGAAAAAGCTTAAAAGCAACCAAGATATTATCAATAATCAATCTCCTAGGAATAAATTCACTTTGGTTAACAGAAGTAATATCAGAAAGGAACCCCTTTAGAGCCAAAAACACCTCCTCCGCCGATCACGGAGCACATAGATTCACATTCATCTCTTCCGTCACCCTTCTATCAATACAACCAACGCTGCATCATAACTGGAAGGACTCGACGTGGTAAACAACTTGTCAAAGTAGCTCATCGAAACATTTGTGACCCTCTCTTGATCAACATAACACACCCCCTCATCATCAATAAGGTGCAAGATGTGATTTTTTCTTCTTTTCTGAGAAGCTTTTCTATGGAAATAAGACGAATTGCGATCCTCCGCTTATAGCCATAAATTTCTCGACCTTTGTCGCCAATATAGTTCTTCGTAGTGGATTAAGTCTGATATTTCCTTGACCACCCTCCTCCTTTCTTTGACACGAGTTGTTGTCCTTCCACCTTTATTCAAAATTCCAAGCCTTTTCCTCTTCTTTTTAATCTCCTTAAAAATCTGGCCAAATTTTTATCACTCCAAGATTGTAACATTTTAGGTGTTCTATTAACGTAATTTTCATTATCGATATGAAATTTTGTGTAGAACTATCCTAAAGATAGGTTGTTTTGTGAACAATAACCTATTTATTAAAATTTATTTAAAACTACCCGTAAGATGGAAAACGTTTGTCTAGCACTATCCGTAAACGGTTTCCGTCTAATTGAGTTGTTTGTGGGGCCAACCCGAAATACCGACCCGAACCCGAATATTAACCGACCCTTTTGAACCTGAAAAAATGGTGACCCGAATCCGACTTGACCCGGCTTGTAACCAACCCTAGGCCCGAGTTAACCCGAGTATTTGAGACCCAAACCCGAACATGAACCGACCTGGAGATGACCCGACCCGAATGTAACCCTTAAATTATTGACTTAAACCAAACCCGATTTGAATCGAAATAGACCATAACCCGTCAAAACCCGAATTTAACTCAACCTTAATTCAACCCGACCTGTTCCAAATCCGGCCCAAATTTAACCCGACCTGTTACTAACCCGACTCGAAATTCAACCCGACCCGTTACAAACCCGACCCGAAATCAACCCGACTTGTTATTGACCCGACCCAAGTTCAACCCGACTTGTTATTGACTCGACCCAAATTTTACTAGAAATAATATGAACTTATAATGTATACATATATATATTATCTAAACTTACTTGAACTTATTAGCTCGAATTTAAACTTCTCTGAAATTATTTCTCTTACAATAAATGAAGAAATTGATAATGATTAAACGTGAACGTCATTACATGAATTGTTAACAAACTGGCCCAAAAAATATAACTGAACCCGATATGACCCGGCCTGATATCAACCTTAAACCTAGATTAACCCAATATTTTGATACCCAAATCCGAACATGAACCAACTTAGAAATTACCCGACTTGATTATTATAACCTGCAAATTATTTCGAGAATGACAAGACCTGATTATAACCCGAAAATTATAGACTTAAAACGAACCGGAGAATGACCTGACTTGATTATAACTCGCAAATTATTGACTTGCCGACTTGAACCCCGAGAATGATTTGACTTGAAAATGACCCGTCCTGACTATAACCTGCAAATTATTGATTTGAATCATACCTGACTTGAATCAGAGAATAACCCGACTTGAAAATGACCCGACCTAATTATGACCCGCAAATTATTGACTTGAACCGAACTTGACTCAAACCCGAGAATGAACCGACCTGATTCTGACCTCAAATTATTGACTTGACTCGAACCCGACCCCGACAATGACTCTAACCCGTTTTAACCCGTGAAAAACCCAACCTATTATTCACCCGACTCAAATATAACCCAACCTGTTTTTAACCCGACCTAAACCCAACCCAAACCCGATAAGATGTAAAATCAGATGTGACCCGACTCAAGCATGACCCAACCCGAACTCGACCCGCACAGGTTACGACATTAACCCGAACTAACCCAACCATTCTTACCCGACCCAAACTCTACCCGTTTACCCAAATTGACAGCTCTAGGGCCCACTCCTTCTATTTCCCACTCAATTTTTCCTCCTTTCCCTCCAAACTCATAATCCTAAAATCCAATTCGAGCAATTCAACACAAATTCTCGCAAAATAACCAATTAATGTTTTAAGCTTTTAATTCATGGTCTGTTTAATTGGTTTAGGAATTTAGTTTACTTCAATCAACATAATTAGGGATTCACTTTAGGGTTTAGAGCTTTAATTCAATTTGGGGATTTTATTTTAAGGGTTTAGGGCTTAAATTGAGTTAGCTGGGGTTTTGCTTATTTCGTCAATAAAAAATTAAAGGTTCTAATTTGAGCAATAAAAAATTAAGGTTTCCCACATTAAATTATGTTCAGTAATTTATAATTTAAAGGCCACAAATTTCATAGTAATTACTACATTGTACCTTGTTCATCCTTGTTTTTGTTTAGTAATATCAGCATTTACTTTGCCCTTCCATTTGACCATTAATGTATGTTGACCTTAAGTTTTGATGATGACTCAAAGGAACCTAAGAAAATCCATATTAGTTTAAATTTCGTTTGTAGCTACGATGGATGACAAGTTTATGCTAAAATTCTGGAGTAAGAATGGAGCATGGAACAAGGTCTAGGTCTGATGTGGAAGAATAAAGAAGACAATCAGAAGTCAAGTTCCTTGAGTGAGGAACTAAGCTCCAAAGTCGAAGCTTCCCAAAGTTTCAAGAAGTCCAATTTATTTTTCTGTATTTTAGGCCTCTTGTATTCATGCTAAGTATTTTGGTGTTTGATAGGATTTAAGTGGATTTTATTTAATATGATAAAGTTTTATTTTCCATATTTAACTTGGTTATTTTTGAGGAAATAATTTTGAAAAATATCTTTTACAAAATATCTTCTTGCTAAAAAGATTTTCTGATTTTATTATGTTTATCTTTTGGAAAAAATCAGTTTTGGAAAATATTGTTAAACGCGTGTTTTACTTTGTCAAAGAGGTTGAGAAATTTAGGGAAGCAGTAAACCCACTTCCTGTTAAAACGGTTTTACTTGCTGCCCATGCTCCCAACGACTTGCAATTCCTAATTCTAAGGAAGTTATGGCTTAATGGATATTGAGGCAACGACAGTTTTAACTTCCTCTATTTCCTATAAATTGACTTGGTTTTCTATTAAGCACAACACACTTGAGCATTGCAAAATTGTAGCTTTTGAAAAGAGTCTTAATCCACTTATGTCCTTAAGTGTATTAATACTTAGCATTAAGAGTTTAATCTTGAGTTGTATTGGGTTAGAGTTTGGAAAAACTCTAGAGTGTTTATTGCTTTGAGTGAAGCAAGGAGAAATAGAGAGTTGAGAGTATTCAACTGGTCGAGGGATCAGTTGAAAGGGAACTTGAGTTCGTTGAGGAACTCGAGTTTAGAGTCTTAATTTGTAATAGGTTGTTTTCCCTATTCTTATTAAGAGTTAAGTTTAAAATCCCCTGTGGTCGTGGTTTTTCTTCTTGATCAAGGCCAAGAAGTTTTCTATGTAAAATCTCTCTTGCACTTTAAGTTTTTGTTTGAGTTTCTTTACTAATTCGCAAAAAGTACCCTAATTCCTTTACGATACAATTCATCCTCCTTCTTGTATTGTTCATTCGAGTCAACAATTGGTATCAGAGCTAGTTCCTTGAAGAAATCAGGAAACCATGATGAGTTAAGTTCCTAGAATCAAGATGAACAATCACTCTACATGTATTGGAAGAATATGATGGAGATTTTTATTAAAGTCGACAACTACCAAGTTTGGAGAGTCATTGAGGTTGGTGATCACCAAAACCGTTGGTGAAAATGAGGTAGTTCTCAAACCTATGTCTGAGTTTGATAAGGAAGACTTTGAAAAAATGGAATTTAATGCTTTTGCTGTTAAATTACTTCACTACGTGAAAAAACGAAATTGGCACCGGTTCAAAACCCCTCAATGCCACCGGTTTTGAACCGGTGCCAATGTGGGGGGTGCCAATTAGTGCATGAAAAAGGCACCGGTTCAAACCGGTGGCAAAACTTGTTATTGGCAGCGGTTAACCGGTGCCAAAAATTCCCAAAAAAAATATGATATCCTCCTTTTGGCACCGGTTAACCGGTGCCAATGTCCAAAAAAAATTAAAAAAAAATTTTGGTTTTTTTCTCTTAAAAATTAGCAGAAAAATCATACAACACCAACTATAATCGAAATTCATAATCAATAATTAATTACACACCAAATGCTAAAGTATAATTGAAATTCATATATAATCACCAAAATGTTACATATAAACATTTCTGCCAACAATAATAATATCTCCAATAATAACACATTAATACATAATAAAATTAAATTAATAATTTGTAATTTTACATTTGCCAACAAAAAAAAACAAAAAAAAACAAATGGATTAACGAATATTGTTTAGCAGTTGCTGAATAGTATAAGCAATATCGGCCTTTAATTTTGCTCCTCCGACCCCAGATTCGACGAAGATACTCACGAACTGGAAAAAAAAAAGCCAGAAACTCAGAATTATAAAAAAAAATTGAAAAAAAAACAAAATCCTCGAAAAAAAATTTAAAAAAAAAAACCCGACAAAACTCAAAATTAAAAAAAAAGATCCAAAAAAACACATGCATGTACGAATTAAACCCAGAAAAACTGATTAATTAAACCCAAAATTAAAACGCATAAAAAGTGAAAAAAAATCGAATTAAATACAAAACTGATTAAATTCGGATAATTATACCCCGAAAAATCGAGAAAAACTTGAATTAAAATCCAATAATCGATTAAGTAAACCCAGAAAAATCGATTTAAATCCAAAATCAAACCCAAAATTAAATCCAACAAAATCGATTAAAATTGAATTAAACCCATAAATTAAACCCTAACCTTAAATAATTATA